ATGATAATTACTGCACTCTAGAGTTTATGCACTGCTTCTGGCAGATGAAGAATGAAAGAGAAGTATATAAATCATTGACTTTTGACAATGTATTTGATCTATGTAAAATTTTATGACTTGGAGAATGTGATTTGTTTGTAAGCTCATTTCATGTAGAAAACTTTCAGTTTTCTACTAGGAGAAAAACAGCATGATTTACAGGAAGCAGACTATTTATACTACTTTCTGTTTCTTTACAATCACGTGAGGTAAGGTGGGGGGATGCGTATATAAATGCTCACTCTGCATGTCCAAGAATCAAAGGAGCTGAAGAGCAGATAAATTCTGCAAGGCTTTCTTTTATGTTCATAAAGATTACTCTTCCATGACAAGGTAAGATCCTCCATATGTTTTGTACTCTTAAAAAACACTTTTGAACATTTCTGCTTTCTAGAAATCCTCATACAAATGAACAGAATATACATCTGGAACTGTGAATCTCTTTTTCTGAAATACCTGAGAAAATATTTTTCATGCAGTGTACTTTATTGTGAGAACCTTTTTTCTAATTCTTTATTATCTGGATTTCTGCATGAATGACTCTTAATATATATGATCAGATCTACATCTAATTCATTATGGAAGAAGATAGTCTTATTTAACCTTAATTGAAGTCTGGTAACAAAGTTTTTGGACAACATTCATTCAGATCATTTTTTTCCTCTTAAAAATGAATGGAGAAATGCTAAACATTCTGCTCATATGAACCTCTTATTCCACCACAGTCTTTGTACAGTATGCGAGCATGATACAAAGACACCAGTAACATCCTAGCAACCACCTTGGATATCATAATAACAGTCAAAGTTAAGTCAAGTCAAAGTTTATTTAAATAGCGCTTTTTACAACAGGTGTTGTCACAAAGCAGCTTTACAGAAAAATCAGAGTCCAAGCCCTCATGAGCAAGTCAGTGGCGACAGTGGCAAGATAAAACTCCCTAAGAGCAAGAGGAAGAAACCTTAAAAGGAACCAAGACTCAAAATGGGAAACCCATCCTCCTCTGGTCGACACCGGATAGCAAACAGCATTAGTATAAAATATTATAATACAAAACAGGGAAAACAGGCGGAGCAATGGTTAATTAGATTAGTTTTATCTTATGCAGCAGCAGCAGCCGCATCATCGGGAGGGTCAGTTCATGAGGGTGAGGTTTGCACAGTGTTGTACAGCATGAAGTTCAATGGTGGGCAAACAGGTCCAGAAGGCTGGTGAGCAGTGGGCACCCGATCAAGGCAGAAGAAGCAACAGAATCAGACGCACAGGATGGGCAGCTGTTCAACTCGGCAAAGAAAAGGAAAACACACAGAGTTAGTTCTGTAAAGAGTGACTGATCACAGATTACAATATTAACAGAGGGCAGCAGAGACTCCGGCAGGTCTAGTTATTACAGCCTAACTAAAAGGGAGAAACCAGAAAGGTAACAGAGACATGAGGCTCCCTGAGATGTCAGCGTCCCTCCACTCCACCGTCAGCAAACCTGAGTGAACGTGAGAGCAGCACCAACATTCCCAGTTTACCATAATACTCCATGTCCATGAACCCCCAGATCTGCACCTTTTATCTGACAGGTAAAACTAATTACCAAAGGCTTGACTAAACAAGTAAGTTCTTAGCCTAGACTTAAAGACTGAGGCTGTGTCTGAGTCCCGAACATTGACCGGAAGATTATTCCAAAGTTGGGGTGCTTTGTATGAGAAGGCTCTCCCCCCTGATGTAACTGTTAATTCTAGGTACTAATAGTAAGCCAGCACCTTGTGATCTAAGTAGGTGTGATGGCTCATAGTATGAGAGAAGTTCACTCAGGTACTGAGGGGCGAGTCTGTTTAAAGCTTTATATGTCAGCAAAAGAATTTTATAATCAATGCAAAGTTTAACTGGCAACCTGTTTAGGTTTCATAAAACTGGGCTGATATGGTCAAACTTTCTGGTTCTTGTGAGGACTCTGGCTGCAGCGTTCTGGACTAGCTGAAGCTTGTTAAGGCTTTTGCTGGAACATCCAGACAGCAGGGCATTACAGTAATCAAGCCTTGAGGTAATAAATGCATGAACTAGCTTTTCTGCATCCTGTAGAGATAATGCATTTCTTAATTTAGCAATATTGCAGAGATGCAGGAAGGCTATTCTAGTAATATTCGTTATTATGTGCGTCGAAGGACAAATCGGGATCTATTGTGACACCAAGATTTTTTACAGATGAACCTGACGCAACTGAGAAACTATTAAGTTTAAGTTTAAGTGTAAAATTAGACAGTTTGTTTCTAGCAGCTTTTGGACCAAGAAGCAGAACCTCCGTTTTATCTGAGTTAAGTAGGAGAAAGTTACTCAACATCCAGTCTTTTATGTCTTTTATACAATCCTCAATCTTAAATTGAATTTTATCATCTGGTTTGCTTGATATATATAACTGAGTGTCATCGGCGTAGCAGTGGAAATTAATGCTGTGTTTACTGATAATGGTGCCCAGTGGTAGCATATATAATGAGAATGATATAGGTCCTAAAACCTATATTAGCCTTGTGGAACACCATACTTTACTTTTGCGAGGACAGATGATTCACTGTTTACAATAACAAACTGACAGCGATCAGTGAGGTAAGATCTGAACCAGGAAAGAGCTATTCCTGTTAGTCCTACAAGGTTTTCTAGTCTGTCTTGTAAGATAGACCACTCTATCATGTCAAATGCCGCACTTAAGATCAAGGAGGACTAGCAAAGACATTTCCTTGGTCAGAGAATAATAAAAGATCGTATATAATTTTTACTAGTGCTGTCTCTGTACCATGATGTGGCCTAAAACCAGACTGAAATTTTTTCATGTATAACATTCCTATGCAAATAAGAACTTAATTGTTTTGCCACAACTTTTTCCAAGATCTTTGATATAAAGGGGAGATTGGAGATGGGTCTATAATTTGATAGTTCGCAGGGATCAAGGTTAGCTTTCTTAATCAGAGGTCTAATTACTGCTAGTTTAAGAGTTTTTGGGATATAGCCAAATCTAAGAGAGGAGTTTATTATTGACAGAATAGGCTTGGTTATTTCTGGCAAAATTTCTTTGAGTAAACCTGTAGGAATCGGATTCTAACATACAAGTAGAAGATTTTGCAGAGGAAACTATTTTAACTAGTTCATTTTGTTGAAGTAAGGTAAACGATTCCAGCCTCTCTGCAGTAGTTACAATATTAGATCTAGACTGGCATTATAAGGCAGCAAGTTTGTAGAGTTTAATTGTGCATTCTGAATTTTCTGCCTAATTCTTTCAATTTTATCACTCAAGAAATTAATAAAATCATTGCTGCTATAGGCTAATGGCATCTGGGGTTCAGTAACTGTTTGGTTCCAAGTTATTTTAGAAGTTGTGCTAAATAATAATCTAGGATTATTCTTATTGTTTTCTATGAGAGAGGAGAGACAGGTTGAGCATGCTGCAGTAAGTGCTCTTCTATAGTCTATAAGGCTCTCCCTCCAGGTGGACTGGAATACTTCTAGTTTAGTCAGGCACCTGTTTTCTAGTTGTCTGTTTTAAAGCTCGAGTATGATCATTATACTACGGGGCAAGCTTTTTCTTCCTTATTATTTTACTTTTTAATGGAGCCACATTATCTAGAGTAGATTGAAAAGTATCCTCTAAGCACTTGGTCATAATATCTAATTCGGTAGGATTAAACGGACAGCTGATAGAGGCTGATAATTGTGGAAGGGTTCTGATAAAGCTACTAGCTGTGGAGGAAGTTATAGTCTGCTTAACACAATAGCATGGTGATGAACGTACATTACCACTAAAGCAAATTTCATATGAGATTAGGTAATGATCTGAGAAGATCACTCTTTATTATTTTAAATTATAATTTGAAAACAAATTAAAACAGACCTGCTCTTGTACAGAGAACTGTAAGCTGCTGTCCTGCAGGCTGAAAGACTAATGCTGTTATGGTACCTTATAACTGTATTAAAACAATAATTGCGCATACTAATTTGAGGTACAAATAGAGAACTTGAGCTGCACTTATTTATTTAATTGATTTACTTGTGCTGCTAACTGAGGCATTAAGAGTACTTACTTAGAAGTGTGGTAATGTATATAGCACTTTTTCTTTTTACAAAATCAGTGATAAGTGATTTACACTAGAAGATAAGTGAAACATTAGAAAAATAAAATACCATGGTCTAAATGAAATAACAGCACAATTACAAACAACAGTAGAATATGAGCACCAGTGCTAGCCTAATGAATTATGTTTCAATCTCATTAAAACACCTGAGCTTGCATTCCTAATATTCTCTGGAACATTAGGAGCTACATAAGAAAATAATTATCCACTAACTGAGCTGGTAGGTGATCCTAGGAGGGGTCCAGAGAGACACAGTTGAAAAAGAGGCCAAGGTCAAAACCAGGAAAATCCAAATGAACAGAGACTATCCAAGCAAACAATCCAAAAGGGCAAGACAAAAAGTCCAAAAAGGGGAGAGAGCTTGGAAAGAGTCCTGGGAGACTGAATCCACAGAGGAGTAAGGTGTGCCGGTCATCTGATCTCCAAGGGGGTTCTGGGAGATTGAGTACTTAAGGAAAACAGGATTGGAGGAATGCGTGACAAGGAATTTGCAGTAAGCCTGCTTTAGCTGAGTGAAGTGGTCTGGATGGGCTATAACATTTCAAATAGTAAGATATTCAGGATCCAGGGCATTAAAGGCTTTAAAAGTTATTAGCAAGACCTTGTAGTCAAGGCAGAACTTAATAGGAAGCCGATGTAAACTGACACTGTATGCAGTACTTCTATAGATTTTAGTACTGGAGTAATAGTATTTTTTACTGCAGTAATTTGTACTGCAGCGCTAAAATGGCTTTTTTTCAATACCGAAATATTGCTGTTTATATCTGCCTTTTCAGGTGAGCCGGTTTCTTCATTTCATGAGTTCCTTCATTTTAGAAAAAGTAGCAGTAACATGTTTTATCCTGACAGATGGCTGACAGTGAGATCATTGAATTGGCTGGTCTTGGCCGACCATTCCAGTTGGGAATGCTGTACGACTGCCGTAGAGATGCTCTCATTCCAGGTACAGAAAGACAGAATAACTAACTGAAATAGTCTTGAAAAATATTTTCTTATTTTCTTTTAAGGGAATCTGCATCCATTAATATTCTTGTATTTTATTTTTCCATTAGGTATATGATTGTTTGCGTGATTTTATGTACCACAAACATGACCATTCTCTACCCTCTCTTTAGGCTGTTACTGTGCCTTTCAGACTGATGTATGTACAAACCCAAAACTGCCACCCCAAAATTTCTGCCACGCCATTGGCTTCCACCTTGCTGTGGGGTGGGGATGTGCCATTAAGAGGAGAGTTGTTTTGCTGTTGACGCAACAAGTCTCCATCCCCACGCTGACTCATTCACCCCCTGCAACGTGCCCCCACTCCCTCCCTCGTACATTAGCAACCACCCTAGATAGTTTAGCAATTACTTTGCAACACTATAGCAACCACATAAAATGCCATATCAATGAACTAACAATACTCAGGCAATGACCTAGCATCTGCCTAACAACCCCCTAGCAATGCCTTAGCAACTGGCTGGAATACCACAGCAACACTTTAGCAACCACCTAAGAAAACTATAGAATCCAACTAGAAACAGCCTTGCACCCATCTGGCATACCATACCAACCACTGTGCAAACAAGCAAACAATAAAAAATAACCCAAAAAACAACTGCATAAACACATTTTAAACAATAGTTTACAACAACTTTACAACGTTATTAGCAGAGGTGTAAGTAACGAATTACATTTACTCTCGTTACTGTAATTGAGTAGTTTTCCCTGTAACGGTACTTTTTGGAGTAGAATTAAATCATAGTACTTTTACTCATACTTGAGTTAATTTTTAATAAATAAAATGCTTTTACTTCGCTACTATAATTTTCATAACGTTACAGAGTAAAAATAAATGTTGAACGTATCAGCTCAGAAACCAATACGAACAATGGGAGGTTACATTTAAAAGATTCACCAATTAAAAAACAGCAGCTCCGACAGGAAAAACACTGCAGAGATGTCCAGATTAGTGAAGAAGAGGAGAACAGAACCAGCACACACGAGGAACAGACCGCGTCCAAACGGTCATCTGTATTCATTAAACATGAACTAAAGAAAACGGCGATATTATCAGCGCCAAACACAAAACCTGCTAAGATCCGCGCTCACAACTCGACTCCAGCCTGAGGCAGTGTTAGCCGAGCTAGCTGATCCAAGCTAAACAGGTTACCGTGTTTACGGGTTTCTTCTTTCTTTTATAGTGATTCTGTTTATTACACTGGAAGTCTGCTGCGTATATTTTATTAGCTACTGTTTTGGAGATACACGGACGTCTGTGCGACAAGAAATCTAGCCTAATACAGGATCTTTATCAACTCTGAGCAGTGATTCTGTCACGTTGTCGTTGACTGGCCTGATCCGATCCCTCCCCACCTGCCCACCCTCTCTCTCTGTCTCTCTCTGTCTCTCTTGTCTGTCTCTCTCTGCCTTTGTGTTTGTCTTTAACTGTGAGAGGCTGTGTAGCTGTTTAACTGTGAAAAATGCAGTGACAATGTCTGAGTCTGTATGAAGTGATCAGCATGATTAGTGAAATATATTACAGTGAAATCAAAGCTGGGTAAATTGCTGATGTTGCTGCTGATTTTAATGGTGTAAATGTTCTGAACAGATATCAGTGAAAATATACAGTCTGAAGGCTGTGAGAGGTTCACACCTATTAATGTAAGCTAGAGTCCAGGGAGCTGATGGGCAGCAGGACTGTCACTAAAATCACGTTATTAATTAAGCAAGTTACTCATAATTTTGACTTTTTTTCTCTTAAATGTACTTAATGAAACAGTAACATCCTCTGCACAGTCTTTCAGGGATTCTGAAATACTTTACTGGAAACAGATAAACTAGGACATCTTATATAATCATCTAACCATGAAACGCATGCAGTTCAACGTAAACCTCGTCCCTTACACAGCTCACAGAAAGCCGTGTATTCAGAATATACAGTAGCAGAGCGAACTGTGATTAGTCTCAACTCAGTACTTAAGTAGTTTTTCAGCGAACTACTTATTTACTCTTACTTGAGTAATTTTATTAACTAATACTTTTACTTGTACTTGAGTAAATTATCACTACAGTAACAGTACTTGTACTTGAGTAGGGATTTTCAGTACTCTTTACACCTCTGGTTATTAGCTGGCTGTCAAGCCAACTTGAAGTTTATTCACAAACTTTTCTTTTCTAGTTATATTTTATATTTATTCACTCCACTCTGTGAAAACATTATGAACAGATTCCAGCGAAAACTTATAGGATATGCACAGCCTCTGTATTGCTCCTACAGAGTACTATAAGGATAACTTTTGCATACTTTTTACACTGTTACTGTGCTTCTATACTGAAAAGCTTTTATGCAGCTGTGATACTGCATATATTTGCATATATCTAAGAATAGCCCAAACATATTTTGGTACACTGTACACTGGTACGCTATGACAATAAACTTGAATGTAATTGCATTTAACAATTGTTTGACTGTTTCCTTGCCTTAAAATGTTGTAATGTTATATATAGAACCATAGAGAGAAGTATAGAACTATAGAGAGATTTGAAAAGCAATCACATCCTTTTGGATTTTTAGGATATTATGTCCGTTCTAATTTCACTACACTGGTTGTCTGTTTCTTTTAGAAACAATTGAGACGTTTAAAAGTGCTTGAGTCTTCCATGAGCAGCTTTTCAGATCATTCAGATTATTATACATACCTATAGTGAAAAATACAAAAAGTAAGGAAGCAACCTGTTGCACATGACATTTGTAAAGCATCGCCTATTACTAGTTTTTAAAAAATGGTTTAAAGCTTGTTTTTTTTTTAACAATTACTTAAATGTATCACACTTTCTATCTGTTATTATAGGCAGATGGGTGTGCATAGGTCTGGTAAAGGAATAAGTGAACATAACATAATTTGCAGTGATTTAGAAAAGCTTATTAAGTGATTTTGTTTGGAACCTCAAAACAGAAATATATCCAGAGTCACTTCCATACACAGAACTGAGCTTTCATCCTGTACAAGTTCTCAGTTAAAATATTAGAGTATTTTCAGCAGTCTGTAATTAACTGTATGTATTTATTGTTTTCTAAATACAGGTATCACACTGTGGGATTCAGAGATGCTGACGAAACACATAAACACACGTCCACAGCCAAACACTGACTTTAGAATCATTACCTCTGATTCCAGTGAAGACAAGTCAGAAGCTCTGAATGTTTCTCCCTCACTTGAAGCTAGCTTTCTCAGTGGTCTAGTCACTGTGAAAGGGTCGGCAGAATATTTAAGCAATAAGAAAAAATCTAAGCACCAGTCTCGAGTCACTCTGCAGTACAAGACCACCACACGGTTTGAGCAACTGACCATGGACCATCTTGGGCTTGGGAACATTAAACACTGTAATGTGTTTGAGGAGGGCTCTGCCACACATGTTGTTACTGGCCTTCTATATGGTGCCCAGGCCTTTTTTGTTTTTGACCAAGATGTTTCTTCAAATGAAAACCAGCAAGAAATTCATGGAAACCTGCATGCATGCATCAAAAAGATTCCTCTTATATCAATTGAAGGTGAGGCATCTTTGAAAATGACTGAGAATGAAAAACAGCAGAGTAACAAATTCAGCTGCACTTTCCATGGTGATTTTGCTCTGGACAGCAATCCGGTCTCATATCTTGATGCCATCAAGGTGTACTCAGAGCTTCCAAAGCTCTTGGGGGAAAGCGGAGAACATGCTGTACCCAGACATGTGTGGCTTTATCCTTTGAAAAAGTTGGACACAGCAGCAGCTAAACTGGTTAGGGAAATAAGCGTCGGTCTGGTCCGTCATGCCCGCCGTATCATTGATGACCTGGATGATGCTGTTACGCAGTGCCAGGACTTGATGAACATTGATATGGCCATTCAGTTCACTGAAATCAAGGCCAAGCTCAGAAAATTCAAAGACTTGTGCTCAGAGTACAAGTTGGTCTTCCAGAAACAGCTCTGTAAGCTTCTTCCATCTATAAGAGGGGGAGGAACAGAAGAGCAAGAGCTTGTGACATTGCTGAGCAGTGTGGAAAGGTCCCCCTTCCAGAGTGCTCTCATGTCTACTTATCTAAATGACAGAGAAAAAGAGATGAATGTCCTCAGATCATACCTGGACAAGATGAAAAACATCCCTGTGTTTTCCTCCAGCAATGACTTGATCAAAGAAACACTTAACTCAGCTAATGACTATGTGGTGATCTTTGCATTCTCATCCATAGTGCAGGAGGATGTGTACCTTTCTGATGTGGAGAAATATCTAAAAGACTTAGCAGTGAACACCAACAAACAGATCTGCTTTGAGCCCAGTTCTACAAAGGAAGCACAGTGGTTCTGTGGTGATATGGTATCACTCACCAGCCAAAATGTACAGTTATTCTCAGACTTCAAAGAGGCCAACAGAAACAGAGAAAAAACTGCATTCTTCATTGCATCCATCCCAAACAAAAACATCATGGGCTCATCAATCCATGTTTACGACAAGGGGCGTCTGCTGAGTGCAGAGTTTGAGCTTCCCTCAAAGCCACCTTCACCGTGCATTTTAAATGCTGAACATGACTGTGTTCTCACAGAAATCAAGCCTCCAGCCCTTGGCAACAAAAGTGTGGAGTCCTACATAATCTCATACCAGACAGCACAAAGTTCAGAGTGGACTCATGTGAACACTAGTTCTCCCGAAGTCTCAATCAAAGATTTAAAGCCAAATACAGAATATCGCTTTAGCTGCCAGGCTGTGTGCTGCCCAGGGGTCAGTCTTCCTAGTGAGGAGACACAGTTTTTCAAAACTCGTCCGTGTAGCCCTCCTGGACCACCCAAAGAGAAATGTTTAGAGTCGGCTGCAATAACCATAACCTGGGACATTCCTTCATTTGTTGGAGAAAAAGCCACTTGATTGAGTATTTCATAGAATTCAGGGAACACACACAGGATGGGAAAGGTAAACCATGGCTATCGATGACGTCCACAAAGAGAGAGTGCACTATGAACGGACTGAAAAGTGAGACTGCCTACATGATCCGAGTTTCAGCCAACTGTGCTGATGCAGGACAGAGTCTTCCCAGTGCTGAGACTGTGCTGACTACTTTAAAGCCTTCTGACAAGCCTAAACAAGCATCGCCTGAAACTAGGAGTCAGCTGTTCTTGGAGCAGTCGTTTTCTTTTGTCTTAGCAAAGGGCAATCCAACTGTTCGTGGACTATACCTGCAAAACCGTTACAATGAGACTGAGGGTCTCAACCTGCGTGTTTTTGGAAGAAAGGTGGAGGCGTCAAAAAACAAAGTGATACTGTTACTTGGGGCAACAGGTTCGGGCAAAACTACACTTGTCAATGGAATGATCAATTACATTCTAGGTGTGAAGTGGGAGGAACCTTATCGCTTCAAATTGATCAATGAAGTAACTTACCGATCACAAGCAGAAAGCCAGACAGCTGAAGTCACATCATATGAGCTGTATAACCAACCAGGCTTTCAGATCCCTTACTCCCTGACCATTGTGGACACTCCAGGATTTGGGGATACCCGTGGAATAGAAGAGGATAAAAAGGTTACAGAGCAGATCAAGAGCTTCCTTTGCAATCCTTTGGGGATTCAGCATATTGATGCGGTCTGCTTTGTCATACAAGCTTCTCTTGCCCGCCTGAGTGCCACCCAGAAATACATCTTTGACTCAGTTCTCTCAGTCTTTGGCAAAGACATTGCAGAGAACATTATGATTATGGTAACCTTTGCAGATGGGCGAGATATCCCAGCACTGGAGGCCATTAAAGCAGCTCAAGTGCCCTGCCACAAGCACAAAAAGGGAGAGCCCACTCATTTCAGCTTCAATAACTCAGCTCTTTATGCTCAGAAAATGGTCCCCTGTGATTCTGATAGTGAGTCAGATGATGATGACAATGACCAAAAAAATGAAATGGCCTGGAACTCAACCTTTAAAAAAATGAAAGCTTTTTTTAAAGAACTGGGGGACATTGAAAGTAGAGAGCTCACATTAACTGTGCAGGTCTTGGAAGAGCGTGAACGTCTTTCCAAAGCCATGCAGTCACTCACACCACAAATCCAGGCTGGTCTCTCAAAAATGGCTGAGATTGAAAGCACAAAGCAGCTGTTGAAAAACGAGGATGAAAAAATGAAGGAAAGTGAGAATTTTGAAAAAGAGATAGATGTGGTCAAGGCAGTTAGAACTGCTGTTCCTTATTATTCTATGAATTGCAACAACTGCTTTTTCACATGTCACTCTAACTGCTTTCTTCCCCAAGAAGATGACATAAGCGCTTGTGCTGTAATAAATGATGAGGAGCAATGTGTGATGTGCCCTTTAAGCTGCCATGTTTCTGCGCATCTACAGGAGAAGGCCATTTGGTCATATGTAACAACCAAAGAGAAAAAAACTGTCAAGGAGCTGATGGACAACTTCAACAAGGCAAAGACAACATTCATGACCACCAAGGAAGTTCTAAGTGGTCTCGATCAAGAACTGAATACAATTCATAGTAAGCTGACAAACTTGGTCACAATGTCCTTAAAGTGCCTTTGGAGGCTGGATGAGATTGCACTGAAACCTAGATCCCTGTCTGCAGTAGAGTACTTTGAGTTACTGATTAAGACAGAGGAAGATGAGAGAAAGCCTGGCTTTGAAGATCGCGTTGTTAGACTGCAGAGAATGAAAGAAGAGTGCAAAAACCTGGACAAGATTGCAGATGGAGAAGATGTTTTACATCTGAAGCCTGAAACAACTTAAGCTTTTGGTTTTCATAAAAAGAAGATGTGCAGTGATACAGTTTAGTGCAGTTATGTCAAAAGAAACAATACTGAAGGAATCACTCTGAATATGTCCATGTAATCGAAAGTGTTGAAATTATTGTGGCTTTATCCTTGCCCACCCTGCCCGTTCTTAGTATGTGACCTTCCACTTTTCTGATTCTTGTCTACATGGGATTTCAAAACATTAACACATGTATTTTCAGTAATTTACCCTCTGGTCATGCTCGCCAAATTTATTTTTAAACTAATATGAGAATGACACATTATTTCATTGATGCCCTTATACAGAGATGTCCACCATTAAGATCTGTTAGTTTTTTATTGTTATTTAGAGTTTAGAGATTTAAATTACCAAATCGTCTGTTTTTGGTTTCTTAATAGAGTTTATCATCTCTTGTCACAGTACATTTATATGTTTTCTTTTTGATTGATGAAATGTTTCAGATGGTTTTGTGTTGTTCTGTGTACCATGTTAAACACGTTTGCTGAAGTAGGTCATTTATACATTACATTTAGTATATTGTAGATAATGTGTTTACAATGAAACTGCATGTTTATATATAATGTGTTCAATATACTGTGTTGTAGCATGCATGCTAATGTATTACAATAAAAGCCATATCAGTCAGTGTATTTGCATTCTTGTTATTCCTATTTTCTTCATAGACATGTTGGAAAATTATTATATAAACCAATCAGCTACTAGATAAATCATGGCATTATAAAAAATAATTTAGAACCAAAAAAAGTAACTGGCTTCTTCATCATTAACATTAGCTTTTATATAAAACCAGCCTCGGCAATAGAAAGTAAATGGAATCATTCACTGCACTTCATTATCATAATACACACCTGTGCATTTTACCATTATGCATATCATCACTGTTGTGCCAAAAAATCTCCAAAATGGTAACTTTTCAGGGAAAGGAAAAACCATTCTTAACTTGGGAGGAAGTTAATAGAATTTTTTTTCCAAGCAATTTTGGAACATTTCTTTGCTCCATTCATCATAACATTTTAACACAGTGTAAAGGTCTGCTGCTATTTTTCAAATTCCTGTTTAAAAAAAAAAAAAAACTTCCAAAGAATTTTCTTTTTACTCACCAGTCCACCGCTCACACTCCTGTATCAACTACGTTTTATTTAACAATTCAATCATGCAACATATATCAAACAAAAAGTAGCACCCCATTAATACCAGTGATCACAGTCCTTTCTTACTCACATAGAATTTTAAATATGCACTTAAACCAAGCTTCAGATGGCATTTAACACATCCCTACTAAAGGACCAGGAATTTGAGAACCATTTCAACAGAGAGTGGACATCTTTCCTAGAAATAAATGATTCTCCAGAAATTCCAGCTACATTACTATGGCAAACTGGAAAATCAGTACTAAAAGGAAAAATAATATCCCACTTTTATAAGAAAGACACAGAACTTGAATTAAGGAATTAGAGAATAAGATGGTGGATAACACCACAGTTGAAACCCAGAATGAATTTAGTAAAGACAAATTACAATACAATGAGCTTATAAATAAGAAAACAATTCATAACACAACTTAGACACAAACATTTTAAAAATAGCAACAAAACTGGAAAATTCCTAGCAAATCTTATTGAAAGTAATAATGAAAAAACAACAATCCCAGCAATCAAAGACGCAGCAGGAAAGATCAGACAGACATCAGCGGAGATAAATAATGTTTTTTTTTTTTTAAATTACACAAGAATTTATACTTAGACATGATCCAGTAACAACAGATATCTTTTTCTCAATAAAATTAACCTGCCAAAACTGAATAACAAAAAACAGTCAGAATTGCCAATACAGAATTGCCACCATTCAACAGGGTTCATTTCAAGAAGTCTGAAGACCCCAAAAACGAGGTTGTTATGAGAATCTGTAACAAAGTTAGCCCTTTTAAATTTTTTGACAAATTAGATACGGAGTCACAACACCCCCAAGTGGTGAGAATGAGACACAACGCACCAGCACCGTAAGGACATGTGCTTGTAAAGAACCCAATAAAACTTGTTGCATTGCCGGCTTGATTGTCAACATTTATATAATCTGTAAGCAGTACTACTTGTTTTATTAGTCTTATTGTTATGTGTATTACCTAAAACCTGTATCTTTTTCTACTGTTAAGTGCTAGAAATACGTAGTGAGTAACTTTGATAACAGGCCAAGACAACCATTTCATTGTAATGAGTTTAGACCATTGACAAACATGTATCCTGAATGTAGTTTTCTTTTCTTTTCTTTCTTTTGTTCCTTTTCTTTTGTTGTCGATTTTATTTCTTCATGCATTGGGTCATATTCAAGTATTACAGGCAAACATTACCTGTGTTCTTTAACATGTGTTGTGTATCAGGTAACAAGGGTTAAACTCTCCCTTATAAACATACCTGAAAGTTAAACCGATTTGATGTTATAAGAATAATGTCTCGTTTTTCTTTGTTTAAAACTAACTGAAACAAAGAAGGCACTGATTCTGGGGAAGGCGCTCCTAAAATTATACACAACCAATCAGAGTTTAAAACAATGAATAGCTAATTAACCGTTAGGTGAGGAAGACCTATCAGCACTCTGGCTCTGCCTCCAAAGGGTAGGGCCTACAGCTGAACAAAACCAGAGTTTTTGGAATTTGAGGAATTCCTGCGTTCTCAACAAGAGGATAGCTAAATTTCTAAGTTTGTGCCGGCCTTGGTCAGAAAGACAGGTCAGAAGTATTAGAACGCTAAAATTTCAGATCTGAAGCCTTTGTGTGTTTTTGTAACTTGTCTGTCCGTCTACACACCTTAAACCACCCTTAGAGAAGGAAGGTGGATATTTCTTGTCTGGCCAGGAAGAATATATCCACAACTTTCAATTCTGCTAAAGAGAGGTAGTTAGTTAAAGTAGTATCAGTATTCTCTAGAGGCTCTTTCATGTCTAAGTTTGAGTGGCTTCCCAAGAACCACACTGCCTCATACTATTTAGCTATGAATCACTTTACTCAAGCTACTTGTTTCTTTTGACTTGTTTTATATTTTCTGTTGTTTATCATTGGAAGTAGTCTAGATGTAGTTTGATATTTAGCCAATAAATCACCTGTTAGTGAAGCATCCTTGGTGCAAGCGT